GAACAGTTTACAACAACTTTGGCAGGACAGATTCAATTATCTTGAAAAAGCTAGAAAGAGGAAAGCTCTGTTTCTTGAAGAAAAAAAACAAAGGGCTGAAGACCGCTTATTAATTCAAAACTTAAATAATGAGCGCACTCTTTTAGCCAAAGAAATGATTAAAATTGACAGACTGAAGAAGAATCAGGCTGCCTTAAAAGAGAAAAGTCTGATTGTTCGGCAAAAACTAGAAACAGAAAAACATCAAAAGGACTTAGTTAAACAAATGAAGGAAATTAGGTAGGTACAGTTTGATATAATAGATTTAAGTCAGTTACATGTGAATATTGCATAGTAATGATGAGATCTAATGAACAGTACTTTTCTTCATAATATGATATATTTTTCTTTAGAAAATAGAACAAAAAAGGTCAGATTTACCGAAGATGAGACAATAAAACAAATTTACTTCCCCACACCCACCAACTTTCATCCAACAAAACCTGCTTCTCAATTAATGTTTGTTCTTATCATAAGTGGCATCATCACTAGCCTCTTGAGCAGTGTTAGAAAGCTGAGTATTTTGCAAGTCATTCTCCCTTCTCATTGCCAACATCTAATGCTTCCCTATTCATTTTACTTATAAAAGGAGTCTCAAACTGATCCTTTGTTTTCAGTCTCACTTCTATTCGATTCAGATTCTCATAATCTCTCTAATTCAAATTATCTCTTATTCTCTTCAAATTCAGAGCTCCATCTCCATTTTCTATCCTTTCTTCAACCCATATCTCTTCTCCAGCCTACACTTCAACTGTCTTAAAATTAAGTTCTGATCATATAATTTCCTACTTAAATATGTTGATATCTTGCAATTGCCCACAGAATAAAGTATAATCTCCTCTGAATGGCACTTCAGACATTCTACTCTGTTCCTGTTTATCTAGACTCATCTCTGTAAGATAAATTCTAGCCGGAATAAGCAGGCAAAGAGGGGCAACGAAGGGCCAGGTAATTTATTTAAATACCCCCAGGTGATATTCTCACGACCTGGGTACTACAAGCCGGAGAAGTCACGTCTGGTTAGGGAGGTGGGGCGCTTATAACGGATTAGGAGGGGGAGGAGTGGGCAAGGTATCCTAAGGGGTGTTGAGAGGTATGATTGGCTAAAGGTGACATAATAGTCAACTAGAAACTTTTTTCCTTGCAAGAGGGAGGAGGCTGCCATCCGGGTCTTAGTTGGCACATCAGGATGGAATTCAGGGAGAGCTGTCCCCTTTCCAAATACGGCACGGGGTCTGGTCTGTTCTCCCCCTATGGCATTTCTCTGTTCTGTTTGCATGTCCTTGTTTTTCCTTTCTCCAGCCTAACAATCTCCCTAAATTTTCTACTTAGTCTCCTCCTTCCCCTAACAGAACTCTGCTCCAGACAGGCTAAATTATTCACCACTTCTCACCCAATTTCATAGTTTCTTATGCCTATGTCATTGCTGATACTATCCCCTTTCCTCAACTAGGCACTCCGAGACGACATTACAAGCCCACAATGTTACTGCTGCCTACATATTACTATACAACATAAGCATATATATTATTGTGCAAATTAGAATGATTTGGAATGTTCAGATTGGTGAGTGGGTAGTGCCCGTGTGTGAAGGAAAAGGCACTTTTTTCTCGAGGGAGACCCATCAGTAATGGCCAGTGTGTGGCTCAATGTGACTGTGTTTCACCCCTGTTTGCCCCCATCATTCAGTGCATGAACTGTACAACCACTGACAAAATTCATCCTTTTATTATCCATCTTTTAGTAACCAACTGCAATGGTACATTCACTTTTAATTGCTCCCCAACTACTCATCCAGTCTGAATTAATCTTTTTCATTTGGTGGTTCTCCCATAGAACTTTTTATTTATTTATTTATTAAAATTTTTTTTTATTTTGGTATCATTAATCTACAATTACATAAAGGACGTTATGTTTATTAGGCTCCCCCCTTCACCAAGTTCCCCTCACATCCCTGTTCACACTCACTGTCCTTCAACATAGTAAGATGCTGTAAAATCACTACTTGTCTTCTC